GAATTAAAATACTACCAAGTGCAGTAAGAATGCTTACAAATGATTGAGCACTTACAAATTAGGTACTGCCAGAAGACCCCTTACTTTGTCTCATCCTTTTACACATCCTTATTTCACAAACAGAAACAAAGACTCAGAGAGGTGAAGCATCTCTTACTATCATACCTAACTGATCAGGAATCTGAACTTGATTCTGCCTGATTCTAAACTTCTCATCCATCAGCCCCAACACACACCCTCCCAAAACATATGTTTAAAGTCATACTTGATACAAATGGAGTTCATGAATTAGGAACTAGGAGACACTTTCCTGAATGGCATATTATGAGAAATGAGAGGGGAAGGCTGAATTTTTTAAAAACAAAGGTCAATGTCTACTTGAGGGATTTTAGCACCAAAGCACTGATTTAAAATAGTCCTCAAAAGAACCAAGGGGAGGGTGACATTTATTTACAAATCATATTTTAGGCTCAAACAATAACAACTAAGTGCTAGATTCTGTGCTAAGCACATAAGATATATCATGTCCCTTAATTGGTCAGGGAGAAATAAGTAGTATTACCCCTAATTTCCAGATGAGGGATCTGGGGTATGTGTGGGGTGAGGAATGTCAATCAGAATCCAAATTTAAATTCAAATTTAATCAGAACCCAAGGCTTCGAATTGGTAAAACTCTAGTAAAAACTCTAGGTTCAGCTTCTAGCTGAGCGTTCTCTGCAGTTTTCTAAGGTGCAATTAAAGGGTGTTTCTCAGAGTGATGCACAGAGAAAAGAAAGAAATACAGTGAATATTTATTGGGCACTAAGCAACACATTTTCAGATGTCTTATCTAATGCTATAAATAATCCATAAAAAGCAGGTTCTATGCCTACTTTAAAATGAGGAAACTGAGGTTCAAAAAGATATTTTGTATGAATTCACATTTTTTTTTAAAGGTTAGAGCAAGACTGGGTATGATGGCTCATGCCTATAATCCCAGATACTTGGGAGGTGGAAATTGTGAGGATTATGGTGTGAGGCCTGCCAGAGTAAAATGTTAGTGAGACCTCATCTTAACTAACAAAGTGGGTGCTGTGGCGCATACCTGTGATCCCAACTACTCAGGAGACACAGGTAGGAGGATAGAGGTCTGAAGACCCTATCTTAAAAAATAAAAAAAAGGCCAGTGCATGGCTCATGAAGTAGAGCGCCTGCCTAGCAAGTGCAAACCCCAATACCCTCAGTTCAAAACCCAGTATCCCCAAAATAAAGGAAGGGGGAAATACAGTAAGGATATACCACGATATTCCAGCTTGTCTCCTGTTAACCTGCATCACTAATTGCCATTATTTTCTCCCTGCTTTATGATTTTTCTTTTTCAGTGTGGTACAGAAAATATTCCTTTTTTGGGTGATGTTTGCCAACTCCCTGCTTAGGAAACTTCATAGTGATGAAACTCTGCAATTCCACCTGGATTTCAAGGTCTCTTAGACTCTGCCCTTCTTTTATTTCCCTTTTTTGCACTCTTTCCTGTCTCTGGCTGGATTTGTTTGTTTTTTGAAACAGAGTCTCACTGTGTAGCCCAGGCTGGCCTGGAGCTGTGATCCTCCTGCCTCAGCCTCCCTGTGGCTGGAATTTCTATCATTCCTGCCCATTACATTAATTCTCATTACCATGCCTTTTATTCTCTACTAGTTAATTTATATCCGCCCATCAACACCCAACTTCAGCATCGCCTCATCCATTTAGTCCTTATAATGGTAATATTTGGTCACCTCACAGCTGTGCTAAAAACCTTTCAGTGGTAACTTTTTATCTGTTGAACAAAACCCAGACTTATAGGCTGGTATCCCAGCCATCCAGGTGCAAATATGTCCTGAGAGGCAATTCCAGGGGAGGCCTTCACTAAGTGCTGGGGAAAGGCAGGAACCAGACAGACTGGTTCCTGTCTTTCTGGCAACACACTTGGCATTAAATAATTACAAATAATCAATTGCATAATTACAAGTGTGAATCAAGTAATTACAAGGCCCTCTACCATCTGGTCTCAACCACTCTTTTCAGTTTTTTCTCATCCTTTTGTTCCATCCAAATGGGTCTACCTTTCCACAATTTCGCCTCTGTGGCTGTGCCTACTCTCTCCCTCCTTTCTTGAGCATGGGCTCCTTTTCTACCCCATACTCCTCCAGAAACATTTGCTTCCTCTTTTTCATTGAAGCCGTGTCAGACAACTTTGGTCTGAAGATTCTTCCCTCATTTGAATTCCTAGCACTTAGCCATTCCACAAATATTTACTGAATGACTTGTTGAAATGTTTGATGAATGACTCTTCAGGAGATCCTAAGTACATGCTGTGGTATTAAAAATTTAAATTGCACAGGGAGTTAGAGATGTTCTATTTCTATGGTTCAAGAATTATTTCCCCCTTCACTCTCCCAGGGAGGAGAGGAATGCACAAAACTATATAGATGAACATACATAATTGAACATACACAATTGTTATGTTGCTTAATAAAAGTTACCCAATTACTCATAATCCTACTACTTGAAGAGGCCCACCACAGACCTTTTTTCCCCCTAGTGTTCTCTGTTTCTATTTCTCTATGTGTCTATATACTGTTTGTAAAACTCCTTGCTCCCCCAAATGAAAATTTTTATCAAGAAATTTTTTTTCTTATGATCTTTAAGATCATAAACTCTGGTGGGATTAACATTTGAACTCAGGGCTTCATGCTTGCAAAGCAGGTACTCTACCACTTGAACCACACCTTTCCATTCATTCACTCTGGTTATTTTGGAGATGGTGTATCTTCACTACTCGCCCAGGCTAGCTTTGAACTGCCATCCTCCCAACAATCTCAGCCTCCCAAGTGGCTAGGATTATAGGTGTGAGCCACCAATGCTGGGCTAGTTTTGACTTAAACAAAACCTAGAGAACTTATTCAGATTCATGCCTATCTTTTCCAGTTCACTGATTATATCTACAGTTAAGAATCTGAGCATTGTTTTCAGGCATTTACTTTAGGAATCCTTTCTCAAGACCTACTGTGGATGCTCTTTTGAACAATACCATTTCCCCCCTCTCATCTTTAAGACCTTAACTGTGTAGGATTTGTAGGTTTTAGTTAGTATAGCCATATTTACCTTTAAACCACAGAATGTCTTGATTATTAGAACATATGAGGTCTTTCAGTCACATCCGTCACTCTAGGGATGAATAGCCTGCAGTGCATCATTACTCGAGGTCATGCAGCTGTCTGGTTAGTTTTCCAAACTAAGCTTAAACAAAACTAAAATTAAACAAAAGAATAGTCAGGCTGGGCATGGTGGTGCCCACCATCTTATCTCAGCACTCAGGAGTTAGAGGCAGGAAAATCTCGTGTTCAAAGTCAGTGAAGCACTAACTCTTGCTAAATAAATTGTGAATATTCCTGCTTCAGAAGGGGTAAAAGGTAAAGCAGTTTGGTAGATTATCAGGTCAAATCCTTCAGCATTACCTTTTATTTATTTATTTATTTCGTTGTTTGAACTCAGGGCCTACACCTTAAGCCACTCCACCAGCCCTCTTTTGTGATGGGATTTTCGAGATAGGGTCTCAAGAACTGTTTGCCTGGGCTGGTTTTGAACCACGATCCTCCTGATCTCTGTCTCCTAAGTAGGTAGGATTACAGGCGTGAGCCCCCGGCACCTGGCTCTGATTTGTTTTTAAATATCAACTATCAGAGAACTTTTCTTACTGGAAGTGGATAGAATTAAAGCACAGAAGAGACATTAGGAGTCACCTGTCTTGCTCTTTCTTAAGGTTTGATTTAAAGGAAACAAACACGTAGTATATAGCATAGCGATACAGAAAGTCAGCCTTTACTCAGGAGTGGCAGCACCACTTTGTATACATGCCCTGCTTTGGTTCTTCTTGATCTGATTTCTACAGATATGACCATGACCCAAGGTGCAATTCCACCAGGCAAGAGCTCAAGGGTTGTAGAAAAGGTGATTCTCTTTAGTGAGACCAAGCCCACTTCACTACAGCTTTGCGACCCTGTTTGAAGCCCCAGTGGGTGGTCTCTCGCCTTTCTGAATTCTCACACAACGATGATAGCTGGAATTTCTTCCTACAGGAACTCCAGCAAGGGTGAGCTGGCTGCAGTCGAGGGTTCTCCTAGCGAACATTCCAATGGGCCTGCAAGGCTTGGATAAGGAGCTGGAAGGTCGGAGGGTGTGAGTGGGGGGAGGGGGGCGGGGAACGAGGCTGGTCCACCAGGTAGGACTAGGGCCGAGGCAGATCCAAGAGGTGCAGAAAAAGCTCTCACAGGAAGGTGCATCCTTGCTCGCTTTTCTGCCCACTTTCAAAAGCCCCTTCGGGATGAGAAACCATGCTGCCCAGGGGAGCTCCTACCCACCCACCGCAAACAAAGGGAACAGCCTCCTCTCCAGACTTCTCCGTCTGAACGAACGCAGGACTTTACCTTCCAGGACCCACCCTTGCCTCTTCACTCACCAAGAGGCTGAAGCCACCTCCTCCCGGGAGGTGCTGAACGCTCCCAGGAAATGGACAGGTGCCATGGACCAATGGTTGGAGCTGCGGCGGGCCAATGGGGGAGAGCGCTGGGTCGACCTGGGGTTTGAGAATGGGAGAGCCAGAATAGGGGGCGGGACGAGGGGGCGTGACGACGGAGGCGCAGCCGGTAGAAAGGAACCTGCTAGGTGGCTGGCCAGGCTGCCCCAACCACAGAGACAGGAACGTGTGCTCGGGTTGTCGTAGCCAATGGGAGGGCGAGTTGGCATGGGGGCGGGCCCAGGGCCGCACAGCTCCGCTCCTCGGGTCCGCAGGGCTGGGGCGGAGCCAAGGCCCGCGTCAGGTGGTCCCGGGCGTGAGGGCGGAGGGAGGTGGGGCGCGCGCGCAGCGCGGGGCGGAGAGGGGAGTTGCAGCCGGCGGGCGGCGGCGGGCACCGGCTGTACAAGCAGGTACCGGCGGCTAAGGTGTCAAGGCCGCCCCCGGCGGCGGGGGGGTGGGGGAGGGGGCGGTGGCGACGGGCAGGCGGGCACTACAGTCCGCCGCGCCCCTATGCTGCACTGAGCACTTGCGCGCTTGGCGCACTTGTCGTCCCGCCGGGCCAGCCGGCTCTCCCCGCCCCGCCAGCTCGGGCCCTACCTGCGGCCACCGTCGGGAGAGGGGGCTCCCCCCAGCTCTGCGGAGCCGCATGAACAATAGGCGGCGGCGGCTCTTGCGGGCGGCGGCAGCCCCACACCCTATGGATCGGCCGCTCCATGGAGCCCTCCAGAGCGCTTCTTGGCTGCCTGGCGAACGCCGCCGCTGCCGCCCCGCCAGGGGAGGATGGAACGGGGGCCGGGGCCGAGGAGGAGGAGGAAGAGGAGGAGGAGGCGGCGGCGGCGGCCCCCGGGGAGCTGGGTTCCGACGCACCGCTGCCCTACTGGACCGCCGTGTTCGAGTACGAGGCTGCGGGCGAGGACGAGCTGACCCTGCGGCTGGGCGACGTGGTGGAGGTGCTGTCCAAGGACTCGCAGGTGTCCGGCGACGAGGGCTGGTGGACCGGGCAGCTGAACCAGCGGGTGGGCATTTTCCCCAGCAACTACGTGACCCCGCGCAGCGCCTTCTCCGGCCGCTGCCAGCCTGGCGGCGAAGACCCCAGTTGCTACCCGCCCATTCAGTGTAAGGCGCAGGCGGGGCCTGGGAGCCCGGCGGGGAGGAGGAAGGATGGAGGCCTGGGGTGGTCAGAAGGACGGGAGGTCTCGCCGAGGGTCGGATTAGGGGTGCGAAGCCGGGGTGGGGAGTAATTGACAGAGGCTCTCCTTGGTGCGATGGATAAGTTAGAGACCCCTCAGGCCCTACCTGGAACTTAGGCGACTAGGCTTCTTAACCTTCATCCCACTTCCTCAGCTCCTGATTTCCACAACCTGAAGCTCGAGCTGGAGGGTCTTTCCCCTTTCCCTTCCTCTTCTTCCCTCCAGATATGGAAGGATTGCAACCAGCGGGTGGTTACTTGTCAAAACCTTAAATCCACAAATCAGAGACCTCACCGACCTCTTCTAGCGCCTGTCCCCGCCTCTTAAAGGTATTTTCCAAAAGAGAGATGGAGGTGTCTCCCTCAAGGCTGGGCTGGCTCACAAGTCCCGGAAGCATCTGTGAACTCAGGGCTGAAGTGCCTTTGAAATGTTGTGTTGACTTCTTGGATCCTAATCCTGTATTTCAGAGTTGTACTTTTAAGAGTCTCACTGAATAATAGTGAATTAAGAAAGGTGCGCGCGGGGGTGGGGGATGATTAGAAAGGGAAAGTGTGTCGTTCCCTTAGGAGAGTTCAGGAGCACAGGGTACAGTGGCTAAATCCCAGTCCCTTGACAGCCATACTGTTCAGACAATACGTTTTCTCCTTTCTTCTCATCCTAGATCCTTGCCTATATTTGGAATTAGCCAAATCTCAGGGGGGCCATGCCCAGGGTTTGTTCCGAGGGCCTTTCTCCCAGCGTCCTGGTTTTCATCAATTTCCCAGGAGCCCCCTGTTCCATACCTGTAATGAAATTTTTCTTTTTCCAAAAGAGTTTAATTTCCATTAAAATTCCCTAATCAATTATATATACCTGGGTTGTTTTAGGAGAAAAAAATGCAAATATATTACATTGCAATTTATACTATTTTGTATTTGGGAGTTTCTGTAATTTCTTCTCTGTTAAAAGGTATAACTAATGTGAATTTGTTGATTTATTCATTGTTTTGTTGATTTAAAGAAATCATTACCAAGGGCCAACTGTGAATGTTTAGTTTAGTTCTAACAGTTACCTTTCTAGCTCTGTAGCTTATTTGCACTTGATCAATGGTGTTACTTTATCTTAAGTTTTTTTTTTTTTTTTTTTTTTTCCCGTACTGGAGGTTGAAATCAGGGCTTACTCACTTACTAGTCCTGTGCTCTACCATTTAAGTCACTCAGTCAGTCCTTTTTGTGCTGGTTATTTTTGAGATATGATCTCCCTTTATGCCCATGCTGGTTTAGACCCCTATCCTCTTATTTGTGCTTCTCCTCATAGTTAGGGATGACAGGTGTGTGCCACCAAGCCTTGGCGTTGGTTGAGAGAGGGTCTCCAAACTTTTTGCCCTGGCTGGTCTCAAACTTCAATGCCTCCTGAGTAGCTAGGATTATGGGCTTGAGCCACCAGGCTCTGCTTAAAATGTATTTTAAATAGCAGCATTTAATGCCATAATCATAACTTTTTTCCTTGTTTTTCCACTCTTCTTTTTCTTTTGGTGTTTTGATTGCCAAATTGATGTTCATCTTTAGTTTTCTTTATTTCTCTCTGCTCATTTAATTTAGAGTTTCATAATTCTACATTTTGATCTTTGTAATGCCTGGAGATAGTACATTACTTTAAATTGTTGCTGGGTACTGCATCTTTTTGGCACTGGTACTGGTAAGATGAAGACCAATCAAAGGTTCTGGCAGAGTGTTTTAAAACAGTGTTGAAGATGAAGTTGGCCATATGTTGGATGACATACAAATAGTCTGGCATATTAGGAAACAGTGTAGTTTTAAATGTAAAACAGTTTCAAGGTTCTTTGTGGGTGTGGTTCTGTGATTTTATTTTTAGGGACAGCCAATGTCAGAGTATGTGAAGTTCATGAGCAGAAACGTAGTTTCTGAAATCAGTATATTGTGCTCCTGCCTGGTATAGTAGTCCCAAATAAGTATGACACACCTTTCCACAGAGAGCTGGGCATGTCAACAGTGTGCTACACCAGGAGCTCCTTCTCTGTAAGATGGCCAGGACTTACGTTCATTGTAACAAAAGTGACATTGGACAGAGTGGATTTCTAAACCTAGAACCCAGATGATGAGAAAAATAGAAAGTGTCTTGTGCTTATTGAAAAACATGGCATTTGAAAGTCTTGGTAAGTGCTCTAATTTGTAGGAGTTCTTATTGAGATTGGTATTAATTCTTGATAATTCAAAAACTGTAATTGCAGTCTGAAGGTAATTATTGAACAGTGAGTGACAGCCACTGTGTTAAGTACCAGGGAAGAAAGAAATGATAAAATAAAAAGGTGCTTATAAGTTACATAAGAAAGATTGGTGTTGTAAATATGAAATTACAATGCAATGCTTTGAAAAGACAAGTTAATTGCTACCTGTGTGCTATGTCCACCAGTTCAGTTAGTGTCACTCAGAAAATAAAGGTGATTGACAAAACCTTGACTTTAAAGACTTGGAATAAAAAGGAGCCGCTGACAACTCTTCCCTGAGTTATCCTTTTGAACTTTCCCCTGGGACTTGTATTATGAAGTTATGCTCTGGATCATGAATAAATGACACTAGGCTTAGTTTTATAGTATTACTCAAAGTGAAAATTTTGCTTCAAACTATTCAAAACAGAAGGGGAAATTACTAAATCTTGTGTCAAAGAAAAAATATAATAATGATACTGTAAACCATTGCACATTTACATAGTGCTTTTATCCCCCCTAGTGTAGGTATCAGGGTTTAGCTCTCTATGGATGAAATGTATATAATCCAGGAACTCAGTCATTCTATTTATTTTAGTGAAAGATAAAATGTAAAGTTTCAAATTTTTCATCTTGAGCAATATAGTCCTAGGAATTAAAAAGTTTCTCTGACATGAAAGTTGTGTCTAATTGCAAATAGGCCATTAAGATTATTATTAATTTATACTTTTCCTTAGAGCTGGGAGTATGGCTCGAGTGGTGGAGTACCTGCCTAGCAAGTATGAGGCCCCGAGTTCAAACCCCAGTACCACCAAAAAAGTAAATAAGTAAATGAACTTGTAATTTATACTTTTCCTCCTAAATCTACTAGAAATGTAAGGATATATTTTCAGGTATAAATATTAATTTTTGTTTTTGAGACAAGATCTCATTGTGTAGTCCAGGCTGGCTGGCCCTGAACTACAATCCTCGTGCCCAAGTGCTAGGATTACAGGCATGTACTATCAGGCCCAGCTCTGTATACAAGATTTTCAAATGAGTGAGCTATATACCATTCACTTGCCAAAACTCCATCAAAAAGTGCCTATACATTTAGTTTCCAAGCATACAATTGAGAAGGAATAACATCTTGATCCAAAATGAAATAAACTTTTGTTCTTGATATTCCTAGGAATAGCCTTCCACAGAAGCTGAAAAATATGTTGAATGCAAGTTGACCTGATTCTTACTTAAAACCAGGTCCTAACTGGAGCAGTGAAGAGAAGGAGAGCCCCATACTATCTGGTCTCTGAAGGTCTAGTTCCTTAGCTCTTATCCAAAGGAGCTTCTTAGCAGGGAAGGAAAAAAGTTCCCGTCCACCTTCTAGGTTCTGCCTGTAGCTGTTGGAAAGCTGTGTTTTGTGCTTTCTTTTTTAAAGGCTGGTCATAATAGTCCTTAACTAAAGAGGAAAAACCTGAGCTTTTATGTTAGGTTATTTTCCCTGCCCCACAGAGGGTTTGTATCTTCTGTGACATGCCACTGGAGGAGCTGTCCTTTCAGCACCCTAGTCCCCAGTTGTATCTATTATATCTTCAGGCATTTAAATAAACATTTGAACACGTATTGTATGTTGACAACTATGCTTCAGATCAGAGAAAAGAAGGGAGTGTGTAAGAGGAAATACATAGTTAATTTAGGAGAATTTAAGGACTCATTTAAGGAAATGAGATAATAAAATCCAAATTTGTTGAAGAGGCACATAGCTTTTAATCAGTGTAAATTTTGGTATGGGAGAACTAAAAAGAATGTTCCTTTCCTCCATGACCAAGGAGATTGATACATTTCTCCAAAAGGGTTTCTAATCTTTCTTTAATGTAGGCATGTTTTCCTCATTCATACAGATGACATCAGGCAAAAATTAGTAATCAGTTAGCATTCACTTTTAGGACTCAGAAACACTCAAGTTATTTTAAGCAAGAAAGGGCTTTAGCACAGGAAATTAGATGCTCACAGAACTGTTGGAAGGGCTTAGAGAAGAGGCTTTCAGCTGGACTTGTGGGAAGAACTCCCAGAACATTGCACAGCTGCCTACCAAATGAACTGCCACTTCTTTAATTGGGAAAGTACAGAATCTGGGGGTGCCATTGAAGTTGTCGACTTCAAGACCACCCTGTTGTGTCTACAGCCCAGAGATTAGGCAACCAGTTGGCCATGAAGCATTCCTTTCCACATCCATAGAGCTAGTGTTTGGACGTTCACCTGCTGTTGCAGACAGGTGATTGCCAAGAGAAACAGTAAGAAGATGGTCTCTATCTCACTTCTGCCTTACACGTATTATGCATCTGGTTGGCAGAGCTTAATTCACATCCAGAACTCTAGCTGAAAGGGAGCGTGGGAAATGTAATTTTTAGCTTTCTAGCCTCTCTAGTACTGAAAGGCATGCCAGAAGAGTTTGGAATGCGTGCTGATTGCTAGTCTCCAGTATCTGCCCCATTTATTTCTCAGGAAGACTGCCAGATAAGGCAATGACTTCTGTGTGTGTGTGTATGTAGTGTTGGGGACTGAACCAGGGTCTTGCACATGCTAAGCATGTGCTCTACCACTGAGCTCTACCCTCAGCCCCAAGGTCATAACTTGTTTAACAGTTGGAACTTTTGGGTGTCAAGATGGACTCTACTTTTTATGTGCCTAAAACAGTCCATCTAACTTTTCCGGAGTTTCCTTTGTGCAGACTGCAATTGCATTGAAAAAAATAAGTGACCATCAGCTCCAGATAGAAGGAAGTACTATAATTAAGCAAGTACAGATTTTTGAGTACCACCAGCATCTAAGTGAAGAGTTGGGGTGTGGTGGGGTTGCCAAGTACGGAAGGAAACAGCCAACAGTGGGCAGTTCTCTTGGTCTTGCCAAAAGTTCAGAAATATATCTTTGTTTTTTTCTTTTTAGTAGAGTGTGACTATTCTCTCTATTTATTTTAGAAGGCCCAATGGACTTTTCTTTTGAAGACCTGAGTTTGGTTTGTGTCCTACTGAGGTAGATTTTTTGTTTCCATTTTATTTCAACAGTCTGTTGGTCACTTACTAACATTTGGCATGATGGGTACAGTGTTGCAAAAGGCAGACAGAATCTCTGCCCTGTTGACACAGTCTGGCTGAATGCAGGCATTGAACAAATATTAAGTAATATAATCTTGATGAGTCTTGCAGAATGGAGATTGTCTCAGAAGTGTTTAATGAGGGGGCTTGACTTCATTTGGTCTGGGAGTTAGAAGTTTCTCTATGAAATTGACATTTAACCTCAGACCTGAGGGAGAATGAGCCAGGTAAAAACTAAAGAGACTTGAGATGATGATAGGGAACAGCATTTTATGAGAGAAACAGAAAGTACAACTGTTTTCATGTAGCTTTTTTGTTTGTTTAAGTTCTGGGGTTTGAGCTCAGGGCTTTGTGCTTGCTAGGCAGGTGCTCTACCACTTGAGCCATGTCTCTAGCCCTTTTGCTCTATTTTGGAGATAGGGTCTTGCCTTTTGCCTAGGCTGGCCTGGACCATGATCCTCCTATTTTTACACTTCCCACCATAGCTCGGATGACAGGCATGCATCACTGGGCCCAGTTTTTAAAATTTTTTTTCTGTTGAGATGGGGGTCTCACAGATGTTTTCACCCTGGCTGGCCTTGCAATCCTCCCAATCTCAGCCTCCCAACTACCTGGAATTACAGGTGTGAGCCCCAGGCACTTAGCTCATGTAGCTCTTAAAACCATGTCTAGTCCAAGATTTATAATTACTGTTATCTATTATTATCTAATCATGAAAGCCTTTCCAAACAGAGCTGAAGATGTAATCAAGTTCCTTAGATCCATACTCTGGATTTGGGAAGGAATCAGTGGTTGGGATGAGAGTGGGAACATCAGAGACTGAGGCAGGGCACTGATGTTTGCTGGAGTATAATGCTCCCAAGGAGACTCCTTTTCCACACATGCCCAATCACCAGGTCCAGGTAGACCCAAGTCCTGGAAGTCTCTCACAATGACTTGATACTCCCTATCTTCAGTGCTGCAGAGGGTCAGCACTACTGACCCAGGCATGGGTCACTACAGGGACCTTCTTAGTAGTTCTTTTTGCTGCCTTCTGTCTTTCTGGTTATATTCTGCATGACTGCCAGAGTTGGTGTCCTTTCTCAATCACAGGTCTAACAAAACTCCCTGTCTGAAAGATACATGTGTCTTGTTTACGGTGTGAAGGGCAAGCCCTTCAGAATGGCTTGAAAGCATTTCACTATCTGTTATCCCCGACAAGGCTTTGAGCCTTATCTCCTATCTCAATGTATATAACCCAGCTGTGGGTTATATATTATTAGGAACACCTTAAGTTCCTAATGTATCATATGCTCTCATGGCCCATTGTTTTACTCATGTTCTTTCCCTTACCCGGATTGGCTTTCATTCCTATCCCCTTCATTGCCTGATAAGATGTCTTCCAGTCCTTCTTTAGGACTCAGTTCAGGTATTGTCTTCCCTGAGAATCCTTTCCCATTCACCCTATTAATCTCCTGTCCTGTTGTGGGAGTTAGTGACTTTTCTTATCCTCTGATCATATTTCTATGAAAGCTCAAACTATGGTGTGGCTATTGTGTGTCTGCCTTGGCCCTGGATTGTGTGCTTTTCACTGCTAAGTACACAGTCAAGCTGAATAATTTTCAAAAAAAGGATCCCCTCCCATGTTCCCTTTTGCTAAAATGATTGGTCTTGGTACAAGATTCTCCCTGATTTTCCAAATGGTATTTATTTTATGAATATTTACAAAATGCCTGCTATGTGCTGCTATTTAACCACGGTCCCTGTCCCCTTAGGGCGTTTACTTTATAATGGAGATGCAGAAAAGCCCAGTGAACAGACAACTCGCTCTTTTTACCTATCCAGGTAAATCAATGGTTAAATGGTGTTCTTGGGATGTTTTTTGACTTGCTTCTTTTTATCTTCTTTCTCAGTGTTAGAGATTGACTTTGCGGAGCTAACCCTGGAAGAGATCATCGGCATTGGGGGCTTTGGGAAGGTCTATCGTGCTTTCTGGATAGGTGATGAGGTTGCAGTGAAAGCAGCTCGCCATGACCCAGATGAGGACATCAGCCAAACCATAGAGAATGTTCGCCAAGAGGCCAAGCTTTTTGCCATGCTGAAGCACCCCAATATCATTGCCCTTAGAGGGGTGTGCCTGAAGGAACCCAACCTCTGTTTGGTCATGGAGTTTGCTCGTGGAGGACCTTTGAATAGAGTGTTATCTGGGAAAAGGATTCCCCCAGACATCTTGGTGAATTGGGCTGTGCAGATCGCCAGAGGGATGAACTACCTACATGATGAGGCAATTGTCCCCATCATCCACCGTGACCTTAAGTCCAGCAACAGTGAGTATGAAGAGTCGACTGAAGGGTGGAGAGCAGCCATACACTCAGTCTACTGCTTCAGTAGGAGTGGATTCCCAGTGGAAACTTGCTTCACAATAGTCCATCCTTGAGTGGAGATGTAGGGCTGTAATAAATGCCAAGAAAAAAATTAGGTGTAGGAAGAGAGGAAGTATCTGAGGGGTCTGGAATAATTTTGAACTCATATTAGCAAGCAAGATTGGCAGTGTGTGATTCTGATATGCTACACAGAAACAGATTTATTTTTTCACTTGAGGGAAGTGTGCATGTTATCACAAAAGGAGTTTTTCCCTTTGTGGAACACCAGGTAAAGCAAACCTATACTACCTGTTTGAATTTCTACATAAACATCTCAACTTCTCCCACTGGAGAAGTGATCATCTGATGAAGAGGCATAGTTTAAACCGTGAGCCAGTTCAGGTGGAAGTGTCAATTTGGGGAGCATGACCTAGCTAGTGGTGTTATAAGACCTCCTGGTAGCCCAGGGTGATACTAATTAATTCCATAACTGCTAGTGTTTAATAGCAGGGAACTGAGAGGTAACTGTTTATTAAACAACCAGAATCCATAAACTAGATTATAAAGCAAGCATTAGATATAATTAAATAGTAAGTCAGTAGAGTCATTCATTCACGTTGGCTGAATAAGAAGCTAGGATATGCTTCATTTGTGGGGTGACTTGTGTTCTCCCTTGCCTCAGCTGACTATAGAGAGGATACAATTGCTTAGTGGTATATGTTTAAGATCACTTTGAGCATGGTATTCCAGAGAGGAAGGCAGTTGAGTTGAAGAATTTTGGGGGTGGCATGGACCTGGGGACTTCACTGTTCCTTTTTCAGCATTGAACCCAGAAATCTTTCAAGTTTTTTGTTCCAAGCTGTTCCAAATGTGACTTGCTTTAAATTATGAAAATAATTTTGTTGAAGAAAAATTAGAAAGTGTATATAAAAAGAAGAGTTAACCCACAGTGTTTTCCTTTAGAGGAAAACTATCATATTTGGCATATCCTTCCAGATATTTTTAAAGCATATGCAGCTTACATACAAATATAAGTATACAAATATACTTTCTAATTTATTTTTCATTTTTTCATCTAACTTTGGGTTTGAAGATCCAATTTACTTTAAAATAGCCTTTATAACTTTTATCTCTTCCACCTGTGCCCTCAACCCTCTTAATAATAGAAACTTTGCAAGAGTTAGGAATTGTAGATACATATTTTAGATATGGTACATTTGAAGGATTTAAGTTGTATAAAATAAAATCTGGCTTCTCTTTGTCATTTTATCTGTCTAGTGTGTAGTTATTCTCATCCCTCTTTAAAAACTATTCTTTAAATGCATTAAATGAATTTAGACCTTTGGTAATCTCTTTTCAGAGTACTTTCTACCTAGAGATTGCTTTGCATGATGGGGTAAGAAGCAGCAGGTGTGTTGGTAGAAAATCTGACATAGAAGATGAATTTTCCTTTTTTTTTTTTTTCTATGTCACTATCATGCTGGAAGAAGAGGCAAAGTTCTATAATGTTATGTCATTGAGCTCATTTAGAAATTACTTGATAAAGTTTATAATTTCCTTGATAGAGTTTTCAATTTGAGTACAATTTCAAGCTAGACATGCAAGGTTTTGCCTTCTATAAGATTTCTGTTTTGGAGCTAGGCTCTTGTGAGGGAAAAACTGCCTTTCTAAAGTTTTACCATTTGTAAGAGAGGACAAGGGAACTGAATGTCACTCTTATCCTGGAGACAATACACTAGTCTGTTCTGGGTTTTAGGATTGCCAGTGGGGACCTTTCAGGGCAGTGTGTTGTGGCAAGAATAGAGTTCTACAAAGAACAGTGTTTTAAAGGACTTTGTCAAGACATGTCCAGAAATGTGAATGGTACATGAAACTACATGGTTGGTGCTGACATTGATGCCAGCTATAAACATCACATGTGAGTTGGCATAGCTCCTTGATGGTACTCTGTAGGTGGGTGATTGTCTAGGATGCCTAGGACTATATATATTCATATGAGCCTCAGTGTACTATCATTCTTACTCCATTGCAGTACATAATTTGAAAATCTTTTTAGATTTTTGCCTGTTGCCTCCAGTGTGGGAGTCATAATATCTTTGTATTTTGTAGCCTTGAGCGCACTATCCTGTTTCCAATTATATTTTATTTATTTTTATTTTATATTTAGAAGTTCCAGAGAGTTGGATTCTGGTCACTGTCATGTAAGGGCAGAATATTAGGAATTATGTTAGTTGACTTTGAACCAGTAGACAAAAGAATATGGATATATAGAGGCTGACCTTGTAGGAAAGAGAAAGTAGTTGGTGATTAATGTCAGATTGTTATAAAGATTAGTAAAAGGTGATTTATTAAAGTATTTTACTCTCCTGGTTGGTTATGTAAAATAGTCATTTGCGGTTTATTGGCAGTAAAATGTGTATCAGTATACAGTATCTATGTTGATATAAAATCAACATTAAGTTTAGGTTTGATTATATAGAAGCATAGAAAATTTGCTCCTGTGGCTGAGGCAGCTCCCATTAACTTCCCAGAGGCCCAGTACAACACACCTTATTATGTTGTGTGGCTAGAACATGGCCACAAAGGAGACTGAAAAATGGAGGCTTTAATGCTGGGTGTCAGTGAGCCCACTAATAATCAGGGTCTGTTACCTGGTTGGTGAAGGAAGCAGCCAACAGTCTTGTCCTGGAATCTCCATGCATGACATGCAATGGGAAAAAGTGTTATCGTGGGTGTTTGGTGTCACACAGCCAGACAAGTTTAGCCAGGCCCTGAGACATACAGCTCAGGCCCGTTTTTAAACTAATGGCTTATACTACTTTACCACATCACATCATTAACTTAAACGTCACATCTTAAAACTACTTATAAAAAGTCACTGGCTATAAAAATGGTTTTATATCTCCCTGCTCCATCAAATTGGGGAAAATCAGTTACTTGTTAGGAAAGGTAATGGTGAAAGATGGTCTTTTTTAAATAGAAATGTTGTCCTTTGGAGGTAAGTAGATGGATTTCAGGATTTTGTGTAATAGGTTTCTTGGCATGAAGGTATTTCACAGAATAACGGTTTAATAAAGTTTCATTAAAAGTTATGGGACCAGGATGTAGCTCAGTGGTAGAGCACTTTCCTTTGTGTGTACAAAGCTCTGGATTTCTTAGCATTAAAAAAAAAAATAGGACTGGGGGTGTAGGTTAGTAGTAGAGTGCTTGCTTTGCATTCATAAAGCCCTGGGTTCGATTTCCAGCACTGCCAAAAAAGAAAAAAAAGTTTTAAACTGAGATAATATGAAAAAACTTTGAAAAGGAAAGGTATTGGGTGCTGTTATTTCTTTAATTTTATTATTAAATAACTTTTTTTCTTCTCTTAGAAAATAGAGAAAAATATAAAAGTAAAAAAGATGTATATTTTTCCAGTTTTTCTGTGCATCTACATGTATCTTTAACCCTAGTAGTATCCTGATAAACATAAGCCTGCTTTTCTCTCCATACCTGTCAGTGTATTGTCAGCTTCTGTTCCTAATCACTGCACTGTTGCCTGCATACTCCTACTCCTGACTGCCACGGGGTATCCCACTGTGTTTTGTGTGGCCCTGTAGTGGTTTTGTTTTGTATAATTAGGAGTAATAATGTCATTCTGCTCATAGGGCCATAGCATCCACATTTTGATTTGTCTTTTTTTTTTATGGTGCTGGGGTTTTGTCACTTCTTGTCCCACCCCCCAGTCCCACCCCCGCCCCACCGTGGACTGACATTTGAACTCAGGGCCTCATGCTTGCTAGGCAGGCACTCTTACCACTTGAGCCACTCTGATGTGGTGCTGGGATTTGAACTAAGGGCTTCATGCTTACTACTAGGCAGGCATCCTACCTCTTGAGCCACACTCCCAGCCCTTTTACTTTTACTTTGTTTTTCAGATAGGGTCTTTGCTTTTGCCCAGGCTGGTGTTGTACTACAGTCCTCCTGCCTCCACCTCCTGAGTAGCTGGGACCACGGCCATGTACCAGCATGTCTGGCTTGTTTTTGAGATAGGGTCTCACTAACTTGTTCCCAGGCTGACCTTGGACCATGATCCTCTTGGACCATGATCCTCCTTTCTCTGTCTTTTGAGCCATTGGGATTGTATTGATTTATGTCTTTGTGCCTTCTGATTTGAGACTAACTATACCGCTTTCCTCTTTTCAGACATCAACTGAAAAGTTCTCATGAGGTCTTTGCTGCCTTATCTCCCTCTTTTCCCCATAAGCCAAGCTGGTTTCCTCTTTCTCCCAGACACACCCTTATACTTCCAAGGTACTAGGTTTGTGGCACACCCTTACTATGGGAATAACCTTGCTTGCAGGAGTGCCCTTGTCTCATCTCTTCACCCACTCAAACCCTACCTGGTTTGCTGTGCTTTATCTAACCTAGTTCCCTCTCCTTCCCATAGTCCACCACAGGCCCTTGTTGTAGTCAGTACTAAGCAGTCATTTCTTAAACATATATTACCAGATATTGTATGGAAGAATATTTGAACAACAGGGTAGTTGAGCCAGTAGTCCACTGGTTATAAACCCAAATTCTTTCCAGCCATGGTAAGACTGTATGAAGCAGCCAGTGTTAGACTGTAGTGTTTGGTGGGAATCATGATAGAGTCCATGCTGTACCCAGTGGTGTTCATAGATTATTGAAAAATAAAACAACACTGTGCTGGCCTGCAGGCCAGCCTGCCAAGTTGCACCCCTGGCCTCTTCTTTATTTTGGCTATAACTTACGTTTCTAAGTAGATTCTGTGTCTTGTTCCCATCATAGTTCCAGGTGCATCGTAGTGTCCTCAATAAATTTATATATAGAATAAGTGAATGAGTAGATGGGTATGAGTGAAGTGTTATTTGAACTGGTTTACTTACAGGATCTCGAAATGTAAAATTTCCTTTTCTTTTATCCAAGGATGTCATTCATGCCTTACTTGCATGGAATTTTCTTTC